GAAGCCTACAAACCTTCGAGCTGAATTTGTCAGGAACCTATTAACCTTCAAGCTGAACTTGTCAGGAACCTACTAACCTTCAAGCTGAACTTGTGAGGAACCTACTAACTTTCAAGCTGAACTTGTGAGGAACCTACTAACCTTCAAGTTGAATTCGTCAGGAACCTACAAACCTCCAAGCTGAACTTGTGAAGAACTTACTGACCTTCAAACTGAACTTGTGAGGAACCTACTAACCTTCAAGATGAACTTGTCAGGAACCTACAAACCTTCAAGCAGAACTTGTCAGGAACCTATTGACCTTCAAACTGAACTTGTGATGAACCTACTAACTTTTAAGCTGAACTTGTGAGGAACCTACTGACCTTCAAGTTGAACTTGTCAGGAACCTACTAAACTTCAAGCTGAACTTGTCAGGAACCTACTGACCTTTAAGCTGAACTTGTCAGGAACCTACTAACCTTCAAGCTGAACTTGTCAGGAACCTACTAACCTTCAAGCTGAACTTGTCAATAACCTACTGACCTTCAAGCTAAACTTGGAGGGTAGTATGATTCTTACGAGTCTTGACTCAAATAAAATTACTGACGAAATTGCTGACACTAGTGATCTATTAATAAATCTCCTCTCTTATTAAGGTTAAATTTAAATTGTTTTTTGTTTTAAACTGGAATTATTCAACAACAACTGGAAACCTCCTAGGTAGTAGGTTGGTAGACAGCAACCACCCAGGGAGGTACTACCGTCCTGTGGTAGTAGGTTGGTAGACAGCAACCACCCAGGGAGGTACTACCGTCCTGCCAAGTGAGTGTAAAACGGAAACCTGTAATTGTTTTACATGATGGTAGGATTGCTGGTGTCCTTTATTCTGTCTCATAAACATGCAAGATTTCAGGTATGTCTTGCTACTTCTACTTACACTTAGGTCACACTACACATACATGTACAAGCATATATGTATATACACACCCCTCTGGGTTTTCTTCCATTTTTCTTACTAGTTCTTGTTCTTGTTTATTTCCTCTTATCTCCATGGGGAAGTGGAACAGAATTCTTCCTCCGTAAGCTATGCGTGTTGTAAGAGGCGACTAAAATGCCGGGAGCAAGGGGCTAGTAACCCCTTCTCCTGTACATATTATTAAATGAAAAAGGAGAAACTTTCCTTTTTCCTTTTGGGCCACCCCGCCTCGGTGGGATATGGCCGGTGTGTTGAAAGAAAAAGAACAGGAAACCTACGAATATTTTTCTGACTTGTATATTTCGTGTGTTTTCATTCTTATAGGAAATATATTTTAATAATATTGCAAAAAAATCCTGACGACTTGAAAATTAAATGTCTAATTTTAAAGTTAATTCATCTAAGACTTTCAATATCACTATAATTGCTCAAGAACACCAATGGGCAATAAGCATTCAATTATGTATAAAGTTAATTAGTAACTGTGCCGATAATGTGTCATTATTAGTATTGATAAACGAGACTCAATCATCAGGGCATTTTTTTTTTTTGACAAGCCAAATAATTTATATAAATTTAACAGAACACGTTGATGAGTATGTTTTAAAGTATGGAACCATATTTTTTTTTAATTTTCACATAAATAAAATGCAATGTTACATTATTGCAGTCTTAGATAAAGTTAGATAACATTGAACAATATACGTAAGAGGTTGGCCGGCCTGTCTCAGTGCTTGGACCCAGCCCTGGTCAACTGTCCGCTACCCGGTCACTCTTCCCGCTCCGTGAGCTTTATCATACCTCTTCTTAAAGCTATGTATGGATCCTGCCTCCACTACATCAATACCCAGGCTATTCCACATCCTGACAACTCTGTGACTGAAGAAATACTTCCTAACATCCCTGTGGTTCATCGGAGTCTTCAGCTTCCAACTGTGACCCCTTGTTGCTGTGTCCCATCTCTGGAACATCCTGTCTCTGTCCACCTTGTCTATACCTCTCAGTATTTTATAGGTCGTTATCATATTCCCCGTAACTCTCCTGTCTTCCAGCGTCGTCAGATCGATTTCCCTTAACCTCTCCTCGTAGGACATACCCCTTAGTTCCGTGACTAGTCTTGTTGCAAAGCTCTGCACTTTCTCTAGTTTCCTTGCGTGCTTGGCTAAGTGAGAGTTCCAAACTGGCGCTGCATATTCCAATATAACCTAACGTACACAGTGTACAGGGTCTTGAATAATTCCTTGTTTAGATGTCGGAATGCTGTTCTTAAGTTTGCAGGCGCCCGTCTGCTGCAGCAGTTATCTGGTTGATGTGTGCCTCCGGAGACGTGCTCGGTATTATGGTCACCCCAAGATCTTTCTCCTTGAGCGAGGTTTGCAGTTTTTGTCCACCTAGCCTATACTCTGTCTGCGGTCTTCTTTGCCCTTCCCCAATCTTCATGACTTTGCGTTTGGCAGGGTTGAATTCAAGGAGCCAGTTGTTGGACCATATGTCCAGCCTGTCCAGGTCTCTTTGTAGTCCTGCCTGATCCTCATCTGATTTAATTCATCTCATTAACTTCACTTCATCTGCGAACAGGGACACTTCAGAGTCTATCCCTTCCATTATGTCATTTACATATATCAAAAATAGCACTGGTCCTAGGACTGACCCCTGTGGGACTCCGTTCGTCACAGGCGCCCACTGTGATACCGCTTCACGTACCATGACTCGTTGTTTCCTCCCTGTCAGGTATTCTCTGATCCATTGTAGTGCCCTTCCTGTTATACGCGCCTGATCCTCCAGCTTCTGCACTAATCTCTTGTGAGGAACTGTGTCGAAGGCCTTCCTGCAGTCTAGGAAAATGCAACCAACCCACCTCTCTCTCTCGTGTCTTACTTCTGTTACCCTGTCATAAAACTCCAGAAGGTTTGTGATGCAGGATTTGCCTTCCATGAATCCATGCTGGTTGTCATTTATAATTTTGTTCCATTCCAGGCGCTCCACCACTATCCTCCTGATAATCTTCTCCATGACTTTGTATACTATACACGTCAGAAACACAGGTCTGTAGTTTAGTGCCTCATTTCTCTCCTTTCTTAAAAATGGGGACTACATTTGCCGTCTTCCATACCTCAGGAAGTTGCCCAGTTTCAAGGGATGTATTGAAGATTGTGTTTAGTGGCTCGCACAGCATCTCTGCTCCTTCTCTAAGGACCTATGGGGAGATATCCGGTGCCATCGCCTTTGAGGTATCAAGGTCGCTTAGCAGCTTCTGCACCTCCTCCTCAGTTGTTTGTATGTCATCCAACACTTGTTGGTATATTTCCTGTTGATGTTCCCCTCTGTGCTGTCTTACCAGAGTCCTTCCTGTCTCTACTGTAAATACTTCCTTAAATCTCCTGTTGAGCTCCTCACATACCTCTTGGTCATTTCTTGTGAGTTCCCCACCTTCTTTCCTCAGCCTGATCACCTGGTCTTTGACTGTTGTCTTCCTCCTGATGTGGCTATACAGCAGTTTTGGGTTAGACTTGACTTTCGATGCTATGTTGTTTTCGTACTGTCGCTGGGTCTCCCTCATCTGTGAATACTCGTTCCTGGCTCTTCGACTAATATCCTTAGTTTTCTGTGTTGTTTGCCATCTGTACTTTTTCCATTCTCTATTGCACTTAGTTTTTGCCTCCTTACACCGTTGTGTAAACCAAGGGCTCGTTCTGGTCTTCCCATTATTTCTGTTGCCCTTGGGAACAAACCTTTCCTCTGTCTCCTTTCATTTTATTGTTACGTATTCCATCATTTCGTTTACTGTGTGTGTGTGTGTGTGTGTGTGTTCTCACCCATTTGTCTTTGCAAGGGTCGATTCACAGCTCCTGGCCCGTCTATTCGCTGGTCGCTACTAGTGTGTGTGTGTTTTTATTTTAATAAGCAAAATTGGATACATCTGCAATGTTCTGCTGTTCTATGATGTATGAAAGTTACTCAGTGGTTTTATAGTTCCAAGAAAAACAAAATCCATCAATAAAACCTTATAAAACCTTTAAAACAATAATGAAATGTCCCCTTCCTTCTCCACTCAGTCATCACCCCATATACTGGTATGTTATATTAGTGTACTAGTATGTTATGACACTATTATACTGGTATGCTATAGCATACCAGTGTACTAGTAAGTTTTAACATATTAATATACTAGTATGTTATAATATATTAGTGTACTAGTATAACATATTAGTGTACTAGTATGTTATAACGTTAGTATTCTAGTATGTTATAGCATATCAGTGTTCTAGTATGTTATAATATATCAGTGTTCTAGTATGTTATAGCATATCAGTGTTCTAGTATGTTATAACATATCAGTGTTCTAGTATGTTATAACATATCAGTGTTCTAGTATGTTATAACATATCAGTGTTCTAGTATGTTATAACATATCAGTGTTCTAGTATGTTATAACATATCAGTGTTCTAGTATGTTATAGCATATCAGTGTTCTAGTATATCAATGAACTAGTATGTTATAACATGATTATATAATATAACTATTATACTATTATGTTATGACACTATACTAGAATGTTATAACGTATTATACTAGTATGTTATACCACATCACTGTACTGCTAAGTTATAGCATATTGTTATATCAGTGTATTAGTATAACATATTATTATACAATAATATTATAACAAGTCAGTGTACTAGTAGTTAAAACAGGATAATGTGCTAGTAGGTTACGACCGGGCCGCGGGGGCGTTGACCCCCCGGAACTCTCTCCAGGTAATACTATCGCACTAGTATGTTAGACAGCATATTGCACTAGTATATTGTGTAGTAGTGGCTGCCTGATGGGCTGTGCTCTCCCGCCTTGACTAATACAATTCATCCATCTCAATTTCCATTTGTCGTTTTTACATTATTCATAATTTTTAACACTAGAATTATACATTTAAAGCACACATATATTTATTTAACAAAAAATCGGCTAAAATGCCTCTTATAAAAAAAAAATGAAACGTTTTATATGGTGGTTCATCATGTTTATTTTCCCTCTTAATTTCAGGAGCTGACAGATGGGGTATTTGAGGCTAATTTGGCTTCAGTGAACCTCAAGGAAGGCATTGACTATTTTCACTTCAGTTAACTGCACGTCCCAGAGCAGAGGCCTGGTCTGGGACCTGGCCGCAGGTTCCAGAGCAGAGGCCTGGTCTGGGACTTGGCCGCAGGTTCCAGAGCAGAGGCCTGGTCTGGGACTTGGCCGCAGGTTCCAGAGCAGAGACCTGGTCTGGGACCTGGCCGCAGTTCCAGAGCAGAGGCCTGGTCTGGGACCTGGCCGCAGGTTCCAGAGCAGAGGCCTGGTCTGGGACCTGGCCGCAGGTTCCAGAGCAGAGGCCTGGTCTGGGACCTGGCCGCACGTCCCAGAGCAGAGGCCTGGTCTGGGACCTGGCCGCACGTCCCAGAGCAGAGGCCTGGTCTGGGACCTGGCCGCACGTCCCAGAGCAGAGGCCTGGTCTGGGACCTGGCCGCAGGTTCCAGAGCAGAGGCCTGGTCTGGGACCTGGCCGCACGTCCCAGAGCAGAGGCCTGGTCTGGGACCTGGCCGCAGGTTCCAGAGCAGAGACCTGGTCTGGGACCTGGCCGCAGGTTCCAGAGCAGAGGCCTGGTCTGGGACTTGGCCGCAGGTTCCAGAGCAGAGGCCTGGTCTGGGACCTGGCCGCAGGTTCCAGAGCAGAGGCCTGGTCTGGGACTTGGCCGCAGGTTCCAGAGCAGAGGCCTGGTCTGGGACTTGGCCGCAGGTTCCAGAGCAGAGACCTGGTCTGGGACCTGGCCGCAGGTTCCAGAGCAGAGACCTGGTCTGGGACTTGGCCGCAGGTTCCAGAGCAGAGACCTGGTCTGGGACCTGGCCGCAGGTTCCAGAGCAGAGGCCTGGTCTGGGACCTGGCCGCAGGTTCCAGAGCAGAGGCCTGGTCTGGGACTTGGCCGCAGGTTCCAGAGCAGAGGCCTGGTCTGGGACTTGGCCGCAGGTTCCAGAGCAGAGGCCTGGTCTGGGACTTGGCCGCAGGTTCCAGAGCAGAGGCCTGGTCTGGGACTTGGCCGCAGGTTCCAGAGCAGAGACCTGGTCTGGGACCTGGCCGCAGGTTCCAGAGCAGAGACCTGGTCTGGGACTTGGCCGCAGGTTCCAGAGCAGAGATCTGGTCTGGGACTTGGCCGCAGGTTCCAGAGCAGAAGCCTGGTCTGGGACCTGGCAGCAGGTTCCAGAGCAGAGGCCTGGTCTGGGACCTGGCCGCAGGTTCCAGAGCAGAGGCACATGTGCCTCCACCACGATGCTGTGAACACTAACTCCAAGGCCGAGGGACTGATTACCTCATCTTTTGTATATAGTTCTACTGTCTTCCTATTATGTCCTAGAATCTGTATTGATAAAGCCACTGGATGGCGAAACGTCTACAATAAAGATATCCAGATGTTGCACATGTGTCTTAACTTTCATATTGTCGGTATTTTATACCTTTCTTGCACAACAGAGCAGAGGCCTGGTCTGGGACGTGATTGCAGGTTCCAGAGCAGAGGACTGGTCTGGGACCTGGCCGCAGGTTCCAGAGCAGAGGACTGGTCTGGGACGTGATTGCAGGTTCCAGAGCAGAGGACTGGTCTGGGACCTGGCCGCAGGTTCCAGAGCAGAGGCCTGGTCTAGGACCTGGCCGCAGGTTCCAGAGCAGGAGCCAGGTCTGAGACCTGGCCGCAGGTTCCAGAGCAGAAGCCAGGTCTGAGACCTGGCCGCAGGTTCCAGAGCAGAGGCCTGGTCTAGGACCTGGCCGCAGGTTCCAGAGCAGGAGCCAGGTCTGAGACCTGGCCGCAGGTTCCAGAGCAGAAGCCAGGTCTGAGACCTGGCCGCAGGTTCCAGAGCAGAAGCCAGGTCTGAGACCTGGCCGCAGGTTCCAGAGCAGAAGCCAGGTCTGAGACCTGGCCGCAGGTTCCAGAGCAGAAGCCAGGTCTGAGACCTGGCCGCAGGTTCCAGAGCAGAAGCCAGGTCTGAGACCTGGCCGCAGGTTCCAGAGCAGGAGCCAGGTCTGAGACCTGGCCGCAGGTTCGGTGACCTCTGGTAACGACTCCATGTAATACACAACTCAATGATCTTGGAAACTAAATTTTATCTGTTATACGTTTACCACTATAACCTCCGTACTATTTAATTCTTGTTTAACTAGTACCAAAATTTAAATATTTTTACGTTGCCTGTAACTGATTTTATTTTAAACTTATAAACTAAATCAGCTCCACATTTGTATATTTTTTTACAGTATTAAGTAGTATTCTTTCCAGTTTTGCTCTGCCCAAAATGCCTTTTTTAAGACACACTGTTTAATTTTTTGGGGTTATCTTAGGATAAATTTGCAATATCTACTTTGTGCAACCACTGGAAATGTGGATTTATGTATTAGGCCTAAATCAAATCTTTGTACACTATTTGGAAAATGGAATATTCTCAAATAATTAAATGTATGCATAAAAGGCGCATCATTATTCTTCCCAATCATACAAAGTTTTCTAAATCTTGTATCATTAAAAGTTCCCTTGAGAAAGGCTGAATTTCTTGTACTTTAGTTCCACGAGAAAAAAATAAAGGACTACAAAAGTCTTACCTCGTGTGTTTATATCCAATATATTTTTCCTAAGATTATGGCAAATGATATACACTGAACTGTTCTCCAAATACAACAACTAGCAATGTCCACACGACCATCTAGATCAAGGGTCCCCAAACTCTTCAGATAATCGACCTCTTCATGGAGTTTAAGATTGTTCGTCGATCCTCATACATTAATTTTATGAAAATAATTTAATAAATATATACTTTAACTAATAGCACTTCGAACAATAATAATAATAATAATACTGACTTCTTAAAAATGGGTAATATTCAAATCGTTTTTTTTTAATAAAACTCTTGATATCATTAATTGGATGGATGTATCTTATGAGTGTCAAGAAGACCACTGATATTTGGTTGGTGATTGGTGAGTTTTAGTTCTAAGTCACCATGCTCTTTAAGGTTTGGTCTGTTATTTTGCCTAATTAAATTTGCATTTACATGGCTATAACAAACTTCAACCATGGACGAATTACCACTGCAGAAAGCCGGAGGTATTTAGCATCAGGGGAGGAAGTACAGTCAGTATGTGAAACGAACAGGAATACTACATGTACGTATATCCTTCCCGGGACAGGAGAGATGAGAGAGGCAATGGGGAGGTGGAAGATCACAGATGTACAACTCAAAATACGTCCCAAGCCATTTATCTATCTCTTCGATAGTCCATCGTCCCTTAGGGATTGATTTTGATCACTTTGGGGAACCTTGAATTCTGGCTTCTACATACACATTATTCTTAGTGTTCCTCTCATCCACATACAATATTCTCTTTTGTTGCTTCCCGGGTATATTTCCACTTCCATACAGTCGTCTTTTCATGCATTCGTCAGTCTCCAAATATATATCAGATCGAGAACGTAAGCCTCCCGCCTGAAAGCTAGCTGCCTTGGATCAACGTCTAGCGTGAGCTGGGCGCCAAGGTATTGGTCCAGTGTGGTGAGGATGGTAAAGGTTCGTAGGTTCGAGTCTCCTTCGGCCAGAGATCAGTGTTTATATATATATATATATATATATATATATATATATATATATATATATATATATATATATATATATATATATATATATATATATATATATATATATATCAGGTTCAAGTGTTGAAGAAGGAGATTCTACTTCTTTAGGAGGAAAATAGGAGGCTGAAGCATCGCACAGATGAGTTTGGGAGCGAGTGTGAGAAGGATTTAGCTGGTAAGGAAGGAATGGTCACCAGCAGTGATAGTGGCAGCCGCTTTAAGTGGCAAGTGGCTCACAGTTCAGGAAGAAGGAAGATGAGGAGAGTTAATAGAGAAGATGTGAAGGTAGGAAATCGATTCTCTGTTCTCCAAGACGAGTGTACTTCAGTGGTTAGTGAGGTTGAAGGTACCACTGATTCCCCTGCTAATCAAGGTAAGAATATTTTAATAGTAGGCGATTCTCAGGTAAGATATATGGAACGTGCATTTTATAACAGAGACAGAAAGGTCAGACAGAGAGTGTGTCTTCCTGGAGCTGGTGTTGGTGACTTAGTCAGCAGGTTGGATAACATTATGGCAGGTAATGGGAACAAGCCCATTATCTGTCTTAGTGCTGGGGGTAATGACATTGGGAAGGGCAGGAGAGAGGAGCTGCTGGATAAGTACAGGTTAGCCATAGAAGTAGTTAGGTCTAAGGGAGGGATCCCAGTAATATGTAGTATCTTGCCTAGAAAGGGGGTGGGCAATTAATGGATGTCTAGGGCAACTGGTATAAATTGCTGGCTAGACAGGTACTGCAAGGAACTTGCAATCCCATTCATTGATAACTGGGACCTTTTCTTTGGCAAACGTGATATGCATGCAAGGGATGGGGTTCATCTCTCTGGGGATGGAGTGGTTGCATTAGCCAATTCAGTTGAGAGGGTAATTGATGACTTGTCTAGGAATTTAAACTGATAGATTAAAGAGGTATGGGTGTTTGTGGGAAACAATCAGGCGGCAGCATTAGAGTTAAAAACAGCAGTTATTATCGGGATACCTCAGGGATATGTTCAAAAGACAATATTCAAAATAAAGTTGCTAGTAATGGCAAATTAATTGATCAACAAACAAAGAGAGATAGTAGAGGGCAACGACTAGCTTCCTTAAGGTTTACTATACAAACAGTAGGAGTCTAAGAAATAAGATAGATGAGCTAAAATTACTTGCAAGTGTCGGTAATATAGATATTATTGGTAAAACAGAGACCTGGTTCAACCTGAAAGATAGAGAAATGCCTTCTGAATGCAACATACAGGGTTATAAACTATTCCACACTGATAGGGTCAACAGGAAGGGTGGTGGTGTGGCGATGTATGTCAGAGAATATTTAAATTTTGTCTTAGACATGATATAAGATTAGTAACATCGAACACAGAATCGGTTTGGCTACAGTTTCTCGAGGGACGTGACAAATTAATTTTGGGTGTGATTTATAGGCCCCCCCAATCCTTGATAGGGAGGGCAGTAAGCTGTTATGGGAAGAAATTCATAAGGCATCTAGATATGAAAATGTTGTGATAATGGGAGATTTTAACTTTAGACAAATTGATTGGAACACTATGACAGGAAATCTTGAGTCTAGTGACTTTCTTGATACGGTTCAGGATTGCTTTTTAGA